AATTGAAAGCCGAAAGCCTTGAAACCCAAAGCCCCAGACTCGACCTGAGACCCCAAGAGCCTCACATCCTGAAAGCCCCTCCCCCGCCCGCTTCTGCAGAGGCTTTATAGTGGAGTGCCAAACTCAATAAACCTGGAAAGCGCTGCAAAGTTTGTCCACGAAGTAACAGAGGTGTAAGAGAAGCAGCCCAAGAAGGCAGGAAATATGACAGCCCGAAACGCCAGCGCTACCGCAATGAGGACTACATCCACACAAGATAGCAAAGCAGCGATTCTCATAACCCAGTCAGAATAAGAATATCAGCAATAGTAATATAGTGATTGAAGATGATGATGATACTACTTGTAAAGCATAAGGCATAAGAATTAATAGTCCAAATCTGCGAGGTCAACTTCGACCAGTTCCTCGGAAGGGCCCGTGCAACCGGGACCGGATCCAGGGAACTTCAACTGGGGTAGCTGGGGGCTGGGGGTCCGTGGGTCATATTATGGAGACCTAAAGAATTACCAATCTTATTCCTTAGGGGTCCTGTTTATAGTATATATATATATATATATACGAATACAGAAGCCCATATTCTAAATTGCCAAGGCCCCTACATTAAGTTTTAGTGTTTTAGGGTCATCATGAGCTTTCAGAAAGTTTCGGGTTCAGAGTCCAAGCTTTCGAGTTTGGGGCTTCGGATCCTTTTAGGAGGCTCATAATTTTTGGATTTAGGGTTTAGGGTCAGTTTTGGGATCTTTTTGGTGTTCGGGTCTTAGAGCTTGGTGCCTGAGGTGAGTGGATGGCTTCAGGGTCTGCAGTCTAGGGGTATGATGGGTGCTGACTTTCCCTACAATTCCCCATTCTATGTGTAGTACAAGATGCTCCGTTCTAGGTCTTAGGGCACCTATGCTCAGCCCTCCGTGTTTCTTTCCAAGTTACATACCCTAGCGAGCCAGATCCGGCCCGCACGAGGAGCAATGCCTCCAAGCCTGCCCACCTGCAATGGGCCGGCGCCTCACATGCGTGGGCTTTTTTAGTCAGGGTTGTGTGTCAATCAGGGCTTAACCAGCACCCCCCAACTACCCTTTCTTATACCCTAAATACCCACTATTAAGGACCATAAGGGCTCTATTAAAGGGTACTTGGGGGGTGCTGGAAGAAACAAGGCTTTAAGTCGGTAAGGGTTTGGGGCTGGCTTAGGTGCCGGAGTTGCTGCGGGCTTGCGGCGGCTTGCTGGCCTCGGACCTCACAGAGGAACTCCTGAAACCAACCCCGATAAATGGTTTGCGTGTCATGGCAAGCCTTTTTCCTTACTGCAGCAATGGGTCTATATCTACCGACGAAGGGAGTTTTTTGCTGCATTCTCAAGTTTGAAACAACAGACAACCATGTGGGTAGCTCTTGTTCCGAATGTGGAGTTTTCTTTCTCGTCGTCCTGCCAATGATATATATATATATATATTCCTATTATTTCACCAGGAGGAGAGTGCACGGTCACTACGGGCTGACAACAAGCGGAGCTGAGCAGCCCCACACTTATATAGAAGCCTGATAAAATTATGTTACCCGAAACCCTAAACCCTAAACCCTAGGGGTTACTGTTATTATTTTTTTGCAATAGTAATAATTGTACTATAAAGGAGCCCCTTCGTCCGCCCAAATTTGTATTCCAACACCTCAGCCCGGGGCCTTCCCGTCTCGAAACCCCCGAACCTTATAAGTTCCGGAAGTTGACGTTGAGGAGGTTGGCATCGAGGGTGGTGGCGGGTAGAGGTTATGGGAATTTCCTCCAACGTCGCTGGGTTGAGGGATTTAATGTTTGGGTGCCCGGTTTTTTTCTGCCATTTAGGGGTTCGGGTTTCAGGAATGAGGTTTAATTGTCGCCCGAATCATTAATGTAGGGGCCTGAATAAATAAGTCCCTATACTATTTTTTTTTGGGGGGGGTTCCTTATTATGATTACAGTATAATGGGCCCCAAAACCCTATTCTAATTACTAAGGCCCCTATACTAGAAAGTTGGGCATCTGCAAGGTCCACCCTTCAGCCTCCAAGCAGGCGGCAACTGCGTGATCTTGGGTGGTGTGCCGCTTTTCTTGGGGAGGGTCTAGGTGGATTGGGTTTAGGGTTTAGGGTTTAGGGTTTAGGCCGAGTTTGGCTTCAGGCGACGACCTCAAAATCAAAAGGTGACATTCCTGCTTTGATCGCTTTGTGGATAGGGTGCTCTTTTCGGTTTGTCCAAGCCACCTATTCTCATGGTCTGAAACCGTTCTTAAAGTAGCATGCTTCAGCTTAATGTAGAACTCGGGCCACAAGGCTTCGATCCCCTTTTCAAGGCCTACACATGTGTCAAGATCCCTTCAAATGCATGATGCCACATCAACGACAGCTTCTCAAGCCACCCGAAGCTCCGCCGCCTAACTCCCCGGCACCTGCATCCACCAAGCATCCAAAACGCCGTGTCATTCCAAGACTAGGCTACATTTTTAACTAACCTTAACCCTCCAGGTACCTACTGCATAGGGTACTAGAGCCCCTAGGGCCCTATTTCGTAGGTACCTGGGGGGTTAGGGTAAGATCGCTTTTCGCAGGGTCCTTCTTGCGTTGCAGGACGAGGTTCCCTCCCTGCAAGACTGTGCTGCAACCTCAACATCCCTAGACTCTGAGCCCCTGGGCCCTTAGCCCGGTACACAATCCTTCGGAAACACTCTTGCAAGACCGTATAAACCCTGAACCCGAAAAGGTCTTTTAAGCCCGAAACATGCCGAAACATGCCGAAACTCCAAACTTCATCCATGAACCCGCAATCCTAAACCGCAAACCCCTGTAATAGAGCCTCAACTGAAACCCCAAAAGCCCAAACTTCCTAAAGACCTCTGGCGCAGGCCTCCAAGCTTCCTGCCTATGCGAGGCCCTGTTGGGCTTTTCCTGGTTTAGCGGTTTAGGGCTTGAGGGTTTAGGGTTTGGGGTTTAGGGTTTAGGGTTTAGGGCTTTGGGTTTTGGGTTTACGGTTTAGGGGCGGCTTTGTGGGCATAACTTGTTGGAAGGCTTTTGGCCTCTGTGCATTAGGCTTTCAGGTTTTAAGAGCTAAAGTACATTCAGCGAAGGGGTCGTACTGACAGCAGTGCTGTGCAGGGTCAGCTGAAGAATGTGCAGCAGATCCAAGCCTCTGCGCGCGCTTTTGCCGCCATTCATTCTTGACGATGGATCCGTCGTCACCTGGGGTGATGCTGAGTGCGGTACCAACAGCAGCACTGTGCAGACTCAGCTGAAGACTGTGGAGCAGATTCAAACCTCTGGTGCTGCTTTTGCCGCCATTCTGGAAGACGGAACCGTCGTCACCTGGGGTAGTGCTAGGTATGGTGGTGACAGTACTTCTGTACAGGACTAGCTCAGGCGTAGATAGCAACTTATCTATCAGTGCTCGCAGCAGCGGGGACATGGAAGACCCGGAGTTTCGTCTACTGTGCTCGAGCGCTTGAAGGACAAGTCTCGAAGACAACTTCCCAGTCAGGCTGGACGAAAGAAGCCTGAGCTCGTGACCTTTATGCATGACGGGCAAAACTCACATAAGGCATTGTATGAATTACTGTAAACTGTGAGCCCTAATCAGCAGGTGAACAGATGTAGAAAGCTACGCTGGGCTTAGGACGCCTTGGCTGCGCCTATCATCGCAGGAACTTTCAAAGCTCAACGCCAAGCGCATACACCTGACACAGCGAAGATATTCTCCCGAAGGCTAACCTGCATTACTACCTATAGTCTCCATTGTAGTTCCTTTTTTTGGTTTAACCAATTATATATTAACGAGTTTATAAGGTATCCCCAAAAAGGAACTACAATGGAGACTATAGGTATTATCCTAAACCCTTAAGTGTCTAATTTGCTGGGTCCTTTGGACCCTTTCCGGCAGCCCACAAGAGCCCCAAAACATTCAATGCCTTGGAGTTCAGATTAATTTTGGGGGTGTCCTTAATTAATATAAGTAAAGCATAATGGGCCCCAAAACCCTATTCTAATTATATTAAGGCCCATAATAAGGTTCCGAAAAAAGCCTTTTGAAGGCGAGTCGCAAGCGATGCCAGCTGGGGCAAATCCGCCGAATCCTCAGTTCTCACAGGACGAATCCAACGCCTGCCAACAAAAAAAGATTGCAGGGTGTAGGCTTTTAGGGTTTTGGGTTTGGGGGTTAGGGTTCAGGCTTTAGGCTTTAGGGGCTTTTTGAGTTTAAGGTTTAGGGCCGTTTAGGGTTTGGAGTTTCAGGTCTTTGAAGTAAACAAGACATGCTCCAGGGACCACACGGTTGTGCCAAGGAACTGCACGCCTTTGAAATCCGTGGGGTCACAGTAAGAGGCGCGAGAGAAGACCCTAAACCCTAAACCCTAAACCCTAAACCCTAAACCCTAAACCTGAACCCTTGACCCCAAACCCACCTCCCCAAAACAGCCGGAGCTTCGGCTCTAATCGAGATTCAGGTCTTCAGCGCCGCAGGTCACCTCGGGCGCGGCTCAGGCCAGGCAGAAGGAAAGCTGAGACTGAGATCTTGCGGACCAGTCATGTTCGTATTATTCGATTGTTGCAGCGCTGAAGCCCGTGAAGCAGAAGGAGCCCAAGACAGAACCGCAAACCCTAAAACCTAAAACCTGTAAATCCTGAACCCTAAACCCTAAACCCTGAAAGCCCTTAACCCTGAACCCTACCTATAGTCTCCATTGTAGTTCCTTTTTTGGTTTAACCAATTATATATTTAGGATTTTATAAGGTATCCCCAAAAAAGGAACTACAATGGAGACTATAGGTAAATGCTAGTAGACTTGCGCTGCATCTCGGAGGTCTTGGTTCCACAGCATCCACCGCCTTCGCAGCCTCCGGTCGTGCACGAGTTCTGCCCAGGCGACCGGCCGAAAATCATGTGGGAGTTTCCGGATATAAGGGGTACCTTATTTTGGGGTCCTTATAATAGGGATCCTATTATTTAGGGTACTATATTAGGGTCCCTATTTTCAGAAACCCCCA